TCATTTTTATTGAATGTCATGATTTTACTTCCTATATTATATTTTAATATTAATATCATTAAAAGATTAAATATAAATGAAAAAATAAAAATTAGTACTTCAAATAATATTTTATATACATTAAACCAACAAAACTTACATGTATTGAATATTTATACTGAATACTTATCAGCTAATGTATTGTTACAACCATTATTAAAGTAGTCCTGTAAAGTTTCAGGAATTTTTTCTGGATTCCATTTAATTGATTTGGAGAATTCATTTACAGCAAATAATATTAAATTGTTATCAGGTATCTTTTTTCCATATAATGTTTCTTTGGTCAAATCTAAAATTCCCCAGTAACCTGGTCTATAAAATATTATGTAATATTTATTTAAATAATCAGATTAAAATCATGTAAAAATTATTATGAACTTACGTAACAATTCTTTTAGTTTTAGGTATGGAAATTCTATATTTATTGAAAGAACTCTTTAATTCTTTCCATGTGTGCTGCACAGACTTAAATAAATAAATTTATTATTAAACACCAACATAATAAACAAATAATATCATTAAATCTTGAATGTAGCAATTACCTTATTTGAGTGATTATTTGATAATTTAACTTCTTCTTGAAGTAACTCATCATCAATTGAATCTAAAAGTTTTGTTTGTTTTTCTCCTTCAAATAATGTCATGATATTATGCTCTTCTTCTGGATCTCGTAACTCATCTGAGAGGTTTAATTTAGGGTCATCATTTTCATTTTCTACAAATATTTCCTCAGTAGGTCTTGCATGCTTTTGATTAGATTCCTACAAAAAGATATGGTAAGATCAATTGATTAATGTCTTTCATTAAATATTTCCTACATCCCATATTACAAAGAAACAATGCTTTTCATACCATGGTAACATTAAGTGATTATGATAAATGATTCAATTTTGCCTTGCCAAGTACTGTATGTACCTGATTGTTCACAAGTGATTGCTCAACATCAAACTGAACCTGCAAAACATGAACAATAAAATTAAATATAACCTTTTCATGTCTTGGAAGTCAAATTACACTGATGCATACTATACTTAAATCCATCTTCTTCCTTTCAAGCTGTGTTTCCACCTCAATCTTTTCAAGCTCAATTTTCTTCCAGAACATCTTCACATCTTCTCTCAATAGTTGATTCTGTAAAAATAAGAATACATTAGTCATGAAATTTGTATGAACTCAAAGGTAATAAAGCAGGTCATCAGATACTGTGAATGAAGACGAAACTTCTTAGCAAGGAAAGACAAAATTTCCTCACTTTCACACAGGTTTAGAAGGAGACCACCAGAGGACGAAACTCTATAACTAGCCTAAAGCAATATTTAGGCAGCTTAGGTGGTTGCATTGAAACAAAATTCCGACTCCTTCCTATCTCCTCGCCAGCTTTCCATTCAATATGAAACATAAAACATTAACCTTAATTGTAGAATTTAAATGATTGGCAGCATTTCTCCACTCGTTGGTTGCAGTAATAGCAATATAGGATGTAAATGTTAATATTGCTTTATGTTCAGCCTTTTTGTCAAATGTAAAGTCTTCTTTCATTCGGCGAAAACACAGGATGGATAAAAGATCAAAATTGTCAGGGTCCAAGGAAGTTTCCCAATCTTCAAATGATAACTGAGTCTTTAACCCAGGATCAGCAGCTCGTTGATTCTTTTTCTGTTCTTTAAGCATGATTTTTTTTTTGTTTTCTTTTTTTTAAAATTCGTGTAGCCTATTTTTCTCTTTTCGGTAAAATGGATATCTTTAGCAATTTACTTTTGTGAAACCAAGTGTAGATTATTGTTGCAGTCGTTAATATCTGTTGTGGGTAAGGTATTTTTCTATGGTATTATATATGAGATTTTTTTTTTTTTTTTAATATAATTACAAATGATTTTATTAGATATCTATTAATAACTATTAATTTATTACAAATATACTGTAATTACAAAAATATATTAATATATACATATAATACGCCACAAAAACATATTAAAGATCGGCAATTTTTTGCAGTTGTTTCACGGATTACGAATTAATAAACTTTTAAAAATAAGTATAAAATCAAAAACATTGTCTTTATTTTTTTGTTTAAAACGCTTTGATAAAAGCAACAAGTGCAGTTAGTACCTTGGTAAAAAGCCATGTTTTATTTGCTTTAGTGAGCAAGGTTAGGACTAACATTGGTTAATTAGTGAGTGCTAACAACGATTAATGAGGCAATTTGCTTTGGTGAGTAAGCAAAAAGTTAATCGGAAATACTGGTAGTATTATTGTGATCGTAAATGTAAGGCTGTTAAACAAGCTACTTAAGTTATTTTACAAGTAAACCAAAGCAAGTCTGCTATCGGCTAATAAATCTAAACAACTGAAACAAATCGATCACAAGTAAATAAAAGGAACTTTATAAACCATAATTGTCAATTATACTTTGCAATGTCATCATTTAACGAGAATCAAAAAATTGTAAAAAGTTTACTTCAAAATATTGTTACAAGATAAGAAATAAAATAAGTGTGAGGTAAAAAGATAAATAAAAAGAAGATAATAAATTTATAGTGGATATTAAATTAGTCATTCATCAATTCTTTTACTACTGTTATTAGAATCTAATTAATATTGTTAGTAATAATTAACAAGTAGTAATTTCTAATTGATTAATAATGAAATTTTAGAGGGAAAAGTTAAAATCAAGATTATTTAACGAACTATCATTACTTGTAATTTTTAAGCTTTTAGACTTAGCAATATCTTCATCTAATATTCTACTTGTATGATATGCATCTGGATGTGATTCATGTGCTTGTCGTGAAGCACCACTACCACTACTAGTAGTATTATCATCATTAAAATTAATTTTATGTTTTTTGATTTTAAAAAATCTGAATAATCTTTTTATTAAATTATTATTTTTTAAGTTCTTATTTGTTAACCTTTTATTTTCAAGAATTTCATTTTTAATAATTTCTTCAAATTTATTATCAGCAAAATCATAAAGCTCTCTACTAGTTGGTCTTTTTGATGGATCCGCATCTCAACACCTCTGCATCATTTGCACATAATCATCAGGCATTCCAGGTAATGTTGGTGGTCATAAACCTTCACATATACCAAAAATCAAACGATGATTGTGAGCTCTATTATCAAATGGTGGATGGCCTGCAAATATTTCCCACATTAACATCCCAACGCTATAGATATCTGATTCTTTGGTGTTCTTTGTATTAATTTTGCCTCTAAGTAGCTCGGGTGCAACATATGATGCAATCCCATAGACTTTATTTGATGATTCATCATCAACTGGTCCACATAATCCTAAATCTGTAATATAACAATCATCCCCTTGCACAAGTATATTACCACTATGTAAATCACAATGGATTAAATCTATTTCATGTATATCATCTAATGCATAGCATAAATAATAAAATATTTTAATTCTGTCTTTTAATGTTAAATGATTTTTTTGTATATAATCCCTTAAATTTCCATCCAAATAATTTAAAACTATTGCATAATTTCCATTATCTGGGAATTTGTTATACCATAGCACTCAACAATCAACCCCGATTTAATTTTACAATAATTCATTGCCTATTGGATATAAAATCAATTAGTATTATATAATACAACATTGTTTATTTTAAATGACAACTACCAACCTCATCAAAAAATGCTTTTCCTGGTTTACTTGAATCATTTAAACTTTTTAATACTACACTGTACCCTCCTCCTAAATAACTGAATTCATTTTTATTTTCGTCATAATCAGCTATTCTTCCTCTTGTCCATCCAGCTGTATAAATCGAACTAAATCCACCTTCTGTCAACTTTGTTATATCTTCAACTAGAGTAACGAACGAGCAGCAGGCGATAACCACCATCACCATCCTTAAAACACTTACCCTCTTTCGAATTCTTCCGTTTGGGTTTTTCTTCTTTTGCTCGAATTTTTTTCAAAAGACATTTTTAAATCTTAAAAAGTTTTTTATTTGATCGACGCGTACATACTAATTATTTATCCATTGGTTTATTTGGTAGGACAGACGCGAATCGATTTTTTTTTTTTTTTTTGAAAAACAATTTATTTTTTGACAGAGTCCAAGGTGACAAAATGTGAGTGTTGTTGTCTGGCTTGGTTTGGGTCTCCTAAAGAAGAAGTGTTAATAACTAACCAGAGGTACTATTTTTTACTTGTATTGATATGTATGTGGTGTATTTTTATTTTATATAAATATTTTAATTGAAATCAAAACGCGGAACAGATCATTGCTGGGTAATTACAAGATTTTCATTGATAATATTTTGCTTTTCATAATCGTTAATAATATTATTATTACTATATAATCACAAGATGTCAAGGCAGCACACCATTGAAAAGAGACAATTCACATTTTGAATATGTGACATTTGATTATTGGAAAATAGCAGGCATTGAAGCATGCACGCTGCCTTGAACACTTTACAGTCATATTCTCACATCTTCCTCGTGTACAAAAGGCTAATCTGACTAGCTTGCCCTGAGATACAACGATGCAACAGAATTCCAGGGGGGTACGTGGTCCTGGAGTTTACCAAGACTGCATTGACTGACATTGACACTTTCACTAATCTTCCCAGACCAGAGAAGGCCGCTGCCATGTTGGCCGAAAAGTTGCCTGCAATGATCCTACCTCTAGGGCAAGGATGGCTCTGTGACCAAGTTGCAACTCTGCTGATGAATTGTAGTGCCATGTAAACATCAAAGTAACGAGAATCTGCAGCTCGTTCCAAGCACAGGAGGTCACAATTCAGAGCAGGGTTGGTGGCCCTGAAATTGCATTTGGACTCTGATGCTAAGAGGAAAGTTGTAAAATAGTGTTTGTATTGTATAATCATTTTCATAAATGCTCTGTTTTTTTTGATATTAACCAATTTATAATTTTGGGTAGGGGACTGGATGGGGTTTTTGCTCAACCAGTTCCCTGTCCTGTAGGTTAAAATTATCACATGATTATATACATCTTTGTCAGCAATATGGCCAACAAGAAAAAGAAAAAAG